CACCTCAGCCTCCCAAAGGCGCGGGATTACAGGCTGAGCCACTGAGCCCAGCTTCGGCTGATTTTTGATTTATTGTAGAGACAAGGTCTTGCCATGTTGCTCAGGCTGGTCTCAAACCCCTGAGCTCAGGTAATCCTCTCACCTCTGCCTCAAAGTGCTGGGATTACAGGCATGAGCCACCATGCCTGGCCTATATGCTACTTTCAGAGTGAGTACAGTCTCCACTGAGGCCATTCACCTTGACCTCACCTGGTTGTTGATAGCATACCAGCACTAGACTTGCTGGGCTTAATCTATGGTCATGGCTCAGGCTGTGATCATACCTCTCTATGTTGCTAAAATGGATATTTCACTACAGTCCATTGTTTTCTGTTAGCATTAGTTCAAAATTGAACCTCTTCTAGAGTCAGCCTTATGGTTTGATAAACAAAACTAATAACTGTGTTTCTATACTCTAATGGATATAGTTCAAACTGAGACAAGCACAATTTTCCTGTTTACCCCTAAAATATAAGTTAGCTAAGATTGTTTTATAAGAAGTCAGTGAGCCGGGCTCAGTGACTCAGCCTGTAATCCCATGCTTTGGGAGCTGAGGTGAGTGGATTGCCTGAGCCTGCAGGTTTGAGACCTGCCTGGCTAACTTGGTAAGACCTCATCTCTACAATAAATCAAACATTAGCCGGTCATGGTAGTGCGTGCCTGTAGTTCCAGCTACTTGGAAGGCTGAGGCAGAAGGATCACTGGAGCCCAGCAGTCGAGGCTACAGTGGCCGGGAGTGGCCACTGCACTCCAGTCTGGGTGACAGAGTGAGACTCCAACTCAAAAAAACAAAACAAAACAAACAAAAAAAGAAGTCAGTGACTTCTGACACAATACTTATCTTCTCATGCTTTTAACCATATTTAATTAGAATGATTTAAAGTCATTTAAATATAATAGTATTGCTTCCTGACTTCTTAAGTCAACATCTAGCCCCCACATTGGATTTTTTTTTTTAAGAGACAGGATCTCACTCTTACTGCCCAGGCTAGAGTGCAGTGGTGCAATCATAGCTTACTGCAGTCTCAAACTCCTGGGCTCAAGCAAATTCTTCAGCCTCAGCTTCCTGAGTAGCTAGGACTACAAGCCTGTGCCATCATACTTGGCTTTTTTTTTTGAAGATATAGGGTCTTGCTAAGTTGCCCAAGTTGGTCTCAAACTCCTGGCTTTAAGCTGTCCTTCTACCTCTGCCTATCAAAGCATTATGATTACAGGTATGAGCCACTATGCCTGACTGAATTAAATATATAGAGGTCAATTTATAGCAATCATTGGCAAAAGAGAGCTGGAACTGATGTTTAGTGATATCATTATGATCCTTATGCTGAGCTAGTGTTTAAGCCTACCATCTTGTCTGAGTGGTCAGTAAGTTGCAGTGAATCTAAATAGTCATTGCCTGTTGAAAAACTATTAATGAACTATCTCCCTTCACATTCCTTTTGCCTTAAAATACTTAAATGTTTTTGACTTAGTTGAGTCTACAAATGTGATGAAAATTACTAATATTCCTTTTAAAGTTGCATTTCTGATAGACTGGTGATCGGATTTAATCTGTTTGATCATTAACTTTATTTTGTTGTCCGAGTCAGACGCTCACACAATTTTTTTTTTTTTTTTTGAGTCAGAGTCTCACTCTGTCGCCCAGACTGGAGTGCAGTGGCCGCTCCCTGCCACCGCAGCCTCGACCTGCTGGAATCCAGCGATCCTTCCGCCTCAACCTTCCAAGTAGCTGGAACTACAGGCACACACTACCATGCCCGTCTAATTTTTTGATTTATTGTAGACATGAGGTCTCACCAAGTTGCCTAGGCTTGGTGAACCCATGGGCTCAGGCAGTCCACTCACCTCAGCCTCCCAAGGTGCAGGATTACAGGCTGAGCCACCAAGCCCAGCTGCTCACACAATTTTACCATGGTTTTGGGAAGCTTGGCTAGAAATAAAATAGAATTTTTGGTTGGGTGCGGTGGCTTACACCTGTAATCTCAGCTCTTTGAGAGACAGAGGCAAGAGGGTTGCCTGAGCCCAGGAGTTCAAGCCCAGCCTCGACAACTTGATTAGACCTTGTCTCTACAATAAATAAAAAAAATAGCTGGACGTGGCATTGCATGCCTATAGTTCCAGCTACTTGGAAGGCTGAAGCAGAAGGATCATCTGAGCCCAGTAGGTCAAGGTTGTAGTAGCTGTGGGTATGCCACTGCGTAGTGAGACTCTGCAGAGTGAGATTCTGACCCAAAAAAAACAAACAAAAAAATTGGCCGGGCTCGATGGCTCAGTCTGTAATCCCGCACCTTGGGAGGCCGAGGTGAGTGGATTGCCTGAGCCCAAGGGTTCAAGACCTGCCTGGGCAACTTGGCGAGGCCTCATCCCTACAATAAATCCAAAATTAGCCGGGTGTGGTAGCACGTGCCTATAGTTCCAGCTACTTGGAAGGCTGAGGCGGAAGGATTGCCGGAGACCAGCAGGTCCAGGCTGCAGTGGCCAGGAGCGGCCACTGCACTCCAGTCTGGGCGACAGAGTGAGACTCCAACTGAAAAAAAAACAAAAAAATAGAATGTTTGCTTCTCTGCCTTCTGGAGGTCCCCAAGCATAATGTAAAGTTTTACTTCTCTTTATAATACCTGCTCTGTTCCAGGTATACCACGTTTTAGACTTCTCATTTATAACTTTGGTGTTCATATTTGAAATATGAAAAGTACATTGACATGAGATTCATTCTGGTGCAAGGATTTTCAAGATATGTAATATTCTTAAGAATTACCCAGTTGGGCGTGGTGACTCACACCTGTAATCCCAGCACTTTTGGAGGCGGAGACGAGAGGATTGCCTGAGCCCAGGGGTTCGAGACCAGCCTTGGCAACTTGACGAGACTTTATCTCTACAATAAATCAAAAAATTAGCTGGGCATGATGGCACACTTCTGTGGTTCCAGCTACTTGGAAGCCTGAGGTGGAAGAATTGCCTGAACCCGGCAGGTTGAGGCTGTGGCGGCCATGAGCGTGCCACTGCACTCCATCCTGGGTGGCAGAGTGAGACTCCAACTCAGAAAAAAGAATTATCCAAGAAACATATTGAAAATGCAAATTTCTGGGTTTAATCCCAAAGTCTGCATGCCTAACAAGCATCCTAGGGGATTTTACGAAAAGTGGTGAAGAAAGCATACTTGGAGAAACTATTCTAGAGTTCTAGACTCACTGGGAATAAAGATACATAAATGTCTTTCAGTCCTAAGCATGAACCCAGCCATTATGTGAATGCATATTAGTGATACTTAGTATTGGTGAGTTACAGTACATATGTTTTATTAAGAATATGCCTACCTCTTATTCTGATACCATGATATTAATTTGCTGGAAAGATTCTTGTATTTTTAAAACATTTCAGTGAGTATGAGCGAAGCCTGAGTTTAAAGACCTGATTTTATTCTATACTGTTCAGATTTGTGTCCTCTGATAACTTAGTCGCCTTAGTTACCTGCTAATTAATCTTTTTCCGTTCCCTTTTGTTTTATATAGAGAAAAGCGGTAAAGAATCTACCTCACTGGGAATGTCATCATTACCAACTTCAGATGGATTTAACCATCCAGCCCATTCTTCAGGACAGAGTCCTGAGATTGGTGATCCTATGAGTCCTGCTCGCTCTGTCTCTGCTTCAGTCTGCCCTATCAAGCCCAGTGACCCAGATAACATTGAACCTGAAACTGTGAGGGCTACAAAGGCTTCAGCTGAATTTCAGATAAACTCTAAAAAGAAAGAACATCTTCCTCTACAGGATATTTCTGCTGATGCTTCTTCAGCAGACCAGAGTCCAGCTATGCCTTTGCAGAATTCATCCGAAGAAGCAGTTGTTATAGATAGTCTGGAGACATCTGCTGGAAGAAGCACCCAGGGCCTCAGATTTCATCTCCATACTAGACAGGAAGCTAGTTTATCTGTCACAACTACTAGGATGCTTGAACCACAGATGTTTCTAGGTCAAAAGGATTGGCATCCAGAAAATCAGAACCTGCATCAAGTGAATGGCCTTCAGCAACTCAAAGAATCAGGGAATGAACAGGGTGAGGTTGTACAACAGAAGACTCCGTGTAACATAGGGCACCTTGAGCCTCCTGAAGAAAGGCAGCAGAACCCACAAAGTATGGTTGATTTGGAAGCTACGATGAAAGGAGACAGGCTACAGCAGAATGTGGATCTTCCAAGTACAAAGAAAAGTACTGTATCTTCAGGTTGCATTGGCTGCTCAAATTCAGAAACACTTATGGAAATAGACATAGTTGAACAGTCCTTAGTTGCTGTGCTTAATTCAACAGGCAGTCAGAATGCAAATGTCAAGAACATTGGTGCATCTGATCTCATTTCAAATAATCCCTCAATGGAAGTAGAAACATCTAAATGTAACCCTTCATCTGAAATTTTGAATAATTCCATTTCTGCTCAGGATTTGCAGCCCCTGGAAAATATTGTTGAACTATCTGGAACAAATAAAGAGTATGGCAGTTACTCCTCCTCTTTAAGTCTCTGTGGCAGTTGTCAGCCCTCTGTGGAGTCAACAGAAGAATCTTGTTCATCTATAACGGCAGCCTTGAAAGAACTTCATGAACTTTTGGTCATTAGTAGTAAACCAGCTTCAGAAAATATATCTGAAGAAGTTATCTGTCAGTCAGAATCAGTAGCTGAGAGCCATACCGGTATTAAGGACCTTTCTGAAAGATGGACCCAAAATGAGCATCTTGCCCAGAATGAACAGTGTCCACAAGTCTCCTTTCACCAGGCCATGTCTGTCTCATTGAAGACAGAAACTTTAACAGGTACTTCACCTGGCACTGGAATAGAAGATGTGCAAAATATGAACTTCAGGGGTCCAGGTGATGGCCTGTCAACTGATAAGGAAGGTGTCCCCAAATCTTGGGAATCAGTAAATGAGAACACATCTGTCACTGTAACCTCAACTAAATCATCAAATCAGTTACGTTGCACCTTAGGTGTGGAAATTTCACCCAAACTTTTAGCAGGTGAAGAGGATGCACTCAATCAGACTTCTGAGCAAACTGAGTCTTTGTCATCCAGTTTCATATTGGTTAAAGACTTGGGCCAGGGCATACGGAATCCAACAACAGACAGTCCTGAAATCAGAGAAAACGTCTGTCCTGAAGCTGCAAGACCATTTCTTGAATATGAACCACCTACCAGCCATCCATCAAGTCCTCCCATTCTTCCACCATTACTTTTTCCTGCCACAGATATTGACCGGATTCTTCGTGCCGGCTTTACTTTGCAGGAAGCTCTTGGGGCTTTGCATCGAGTTGGTGGAAATCCAGATCTTGCACTGCTTGTTTTGCTAGCAAAGAACATTGTAGTTCCTACATAACTATAGGAAGGTGGGCTAGACCATACTCCATTTACTTAAAAACAAGCTCTCTCTATATACACACACAAACACACTCACCACGTATACAGTATATGTAGAAACCTGCAAGCAGAATGTTGAGCCAGATTTTTTTTAAAAGATTTTTTTCGGCCAAAGTAATTTATGATCTCTGTCTGATGAATTTGTCTATCCTACTTGTTAAAATTTGGGCCTTTTAAAATGTATTGGCAGTATGTGCATACAAAAGCTTTTTATTCTCATTAAGATGATGTATTCTGGAATAAAATGGATGGTTTTGTGTATAGCAGAACATTTTAGAATGAGAGTGAATGCTTTGAAAAGCAGAAGCCATGAGAAATCCTATCACCCATGCAGCTAAAAACAGATAAATTCCACACTGTGGCAGTGTCTGTGCTGTTGGCAAGGTGTGGCTCGTTGACTCAGTTGTCAGTTTAGAAACTGTAGACCACATAGTTGGGTGTTTGGAATTATACCCAGTACTTTAGGTATTATGACTCATCAGTTATAACAGGAAATGAAGAATAATTTAATAATATCTTCTAGAGCGATACATTTTTATTTGTGTGCTTAGGATTTGACATTTTAGAAGTGTAAGTGGGAGGGTTTACACGGGCTACTTTGTGCATCACCAGGCTGTTGTGTAGATTGCCAAATACCTTTATTACATTGGGTGGGATATGGTGGGGGGATTACCATTAGAGTAAAACATGGTGCTACCCAGAGTTAAGGAAGAACAACAATAAAACAACTATAATTCCATTTGCAAATATCAAGAACTGTGAGAGAAAAATAATGGCCTAAACACTGGAATTTACTAGAGATTGGGTTTGCTAGCATCTCATTGATAAGTCCTCAATCCTTACTAACTAATGGTGAACTTATGTTCAGCTGCAGGTTGATTACCAGCAGTTTATTTCCTTTCTAGACTAATCTTCTACTATGAAGTTTTTCAGAAGCTCAGTTTAAGCCATGATCTGAGTGGAATACTGAAGTGTGACAACCTTGTCACTTGTATATCTTGGTGCTTGGACTGGTCGGTCTATTAGGTGAGTGTTCTTCATGGCAGTGGACGTAATTACAATTTCTGACTTAAGTGGCCTTGGTAGAGTTTTCCATCCCTTTCTTTGCTCAGGAGTTTCTTTTTAAAGCAAGAATCATCATATTTGTGTTTACCATGTCACGTTAGAGTGGGGCATAATATATAGATGTATTTATTGTGGCCTTTTTTAATATAAGGACTAGCCCTTGGAAATCATTGTCCTGTGGGCCCCACTGTGCAATAATCCTACTGGATAGGTTTTAGATAATTCTAACCTGGAAAATAAACTCTTAGGTACCTAGCAGGAATCTGAAACCTTAAGTTTTATTGAAAATGATTTTGAGAATAATTTCTGATTCCAGGTTATAGTTTGTAAAATGTGTGAAACAGGAGCTTCGAAAGAGTGATTTCTCAACTTAGTGTTAAATAATTTTGTTTAAAGTCTGACTTTCTTTGAAAACTTGTTCTTTTTATCAAATTTCAAGTCTTTGAGCACAATCAAAATGGAGGCTCATCTCAGGAGTTTTTGACGTTTTAATTTTGGGACACTTAGAGATATTTCTTTTCTGCCCCATCCCAACTTTCTTTTGCTGTGATGCTTGTCTGTGTGTTTTAAGATGTTTGTGAGGTGACAGCAAGTCACATAGATTCATCATGATCCCTTCTGAAGTTTGGAGATGTGGTAGGAGTTTTAGTTTACTGCTTTCCAGAAGCTACTCAGAGCAGCAGGGCAGCGGGGTTGTCTTGAAGATGTTCTTTTAGGCAATCACATGTAGACCCTTTTGCCTGCCCTACACCAAAGACATAAGATGCACTAGAAAACTGCTTCTAGGATTTCTGTAACCTAACTCTTAAAGCTGTGATTGTAATTCAGTAGTTGGTGCTATGACTGATGCAAAATCCAGTAGCAATGCAATGGGGCCCTGTATTTGCTTTATTGGTGATGACTTAGGAATGTATTCTAAACTTATAAATCTTTGGAACTGTGGGGTGGGTGGGGATGGGGGAACTTACTGATAATGATGGACTCCTCTAGAAAGGCCTTCTGTGTGAGCAGAACAGACTTTGGAATACTACTTAGTGGCATAGCTGCTGAATTTTCACAATGTGGAGATTTGGGGAAACAGTCCCAAGTAGAATATATAAAATCAGTATAGAAAAGATTTCATTACAATAGCTTTTTATGTATGTGTATTTATTTTTAGGAATAGATCTTTAGTTGTGTACATATTCTTATTAGAAATACTTTGAATGAGCTTAACCCACTTGCCAAATATCCTTGTTCCTTTCATCTTTTTTTGTTTTGAGGTTTGTTTTTTTTGTTGTTGTTGAGTTGGAGTCTTACTCTGTCGCCCAGATTGGAGTGCAGTGGCCGCTCCCGGCCACCGCAGCCTCGACCTGCTGGACTCTGGCGATCCTTCCACCTCAGCCTTCCAAGTAGCCAGAATTACAGGCATGCGCTACCACACCCGGCTGATTTTTTGATTTATTGTAGAGATGAGGTCGCGCGGCCCAGGCGGGTCTTGAACCCGCGGGCTCAGGCAGTCCACTCACCTCAGCATCCCAAAGGTGCGGGATTATAGGCTGAGCCACCAAGCCCCGCTTGAGGTTTTTTGTTTTTTGATTTGGCGGGGGCGGTTTGAGACAGGAGGTCTTGCTTTGTTGTCCAGGACTTGAACTCATGGGCTCAAGCAGTCCTCTGTCCTCAGACTCCTGAGTAGCTGGGACTACAGGTGCTTGCTGCCGTGCCCACCTCTCATCACTTTTTTTCAATATGTAATTGCTTTTGATTTTTAAAATCTTACTTCTTATTATTTTTATAAAAATAAAGTTGTTGACACTTAGAATTTGGATGACTTTTAAATTTAGCAATTTGAGAATGGAAAGGGTATTGAACGTTACACTATTGAACTTTCATCGTCAGTTTTTATTCAGTGCTTAACACTTCAGGAACTCCAAAAGTGCAGAAATTACAGGTTAACTTCTAGGAATAAGATAAAATGATTGTGAACTTCTCTGTTTGCCAGCAGAATTGATAACAGCTGTCCATAACCAGTAATGGACAACTTTTCTGAACAGCTCCCTTACCATAACCAGTAGTGGGCCGTTCTCAGGTCTGATTTAACTTAACTCCAAGGATGATCTCTGTTTATTCACCAAAGAGAGGAAAAGGTCTTCCTGTGTAACCGTTTCCCCTAAGTTAATTCCTGTGCAGAAGGATGTGCTTGGTAGGCAGGCAGCAGCTGTGCCTAAGCTGTGGCCACTACTTGTGGGTGCTGTAAGGACCTGTTTCTAAGTTGTTCCTAGTCAGGCCTCCGACAGCCAGTAGCCTTCCCCCGCCCCAGTCTGGGCTTTCGCCGTTAACATAAAGGTAGCTGTTGCTTGGTGGAGGAAACTGGGTAGATGGTAAGCATATGTGTTAAAACTCTTCTGCCTTGCAGCCTTCAACACTTTATAGAGCTTGTCTCCATATGAACTGAGGGGAGACACAACCCTGTGTGTTTTTCCCAGAGCACCTCTCTCCTCTCTAACGAGAGGGTGCATAAAAGCAGGCATGTGAGACTTTGTGACTGATTTTATGACAGCCAGTTCATGTGGAATCTGCCTGTTCTGTTACCACAGATTTCTATCTCCAGTGAAAGCCATACAAATTTAGTTTAATTTTCTAGCTCATGACTATATATATATATATGTGTGTGTAAACTATTGTATACATATGGTGAGTGACAAATATAGTTAATTTTATATAGATTAAAAAGCAAGCAATGTTTATATCTACGTACATGTTCTTCACCTATGGTGGCTTTTATCCCACCATGTATATAGCAGACAGCCCTGCAGTCATTGGCCAGGAGAGTGACCATGCATCCTGATGGCATTTTCCTGCCTGTTTGCCCCCAGTGGGGGGGTGAGGGGTTGATCAAACTGCTGCGTATTTCAAACTAGTTATCACTGGCAATGCGTCCTAAGAGAAGCCGGCTGGATTATACATTCTGCCGTTCTTTAGCACAAATACACACCCCAAAACCAAGTTCTCCTTTGAATTTGGTGGCTTAGTGTAGTTAGTGGCTGAACTAAAAAGACACGGAGAGCTATGAGAATTTCCTTTCCCAGAAGATGAATGTTATCTTTCATGTTAGGAATTACATAAAGTAGAGTCGTTTTCTGATAATTACAACAAAGTAAATTCAAAGCTAGTTCTTGAGAACTGGAAATGTAAAATCATGATTCAAGTTTTATACCTTAGTATCCCCTCAGGTGTTAGTAGGAGTTCATTGAGGAAGCTAATGAACTTAGGGGTGAACCTTTGATGTACTTGATTTTCTTTTGTGCCTTAGTTTCTCTGAGTAGCAGAGGCATCGAGTTTGGGTGGGGAATAAAAGTGGGAGTATTAGAAAGGCTTGAAAGTAGCTCTCCTGGAGATGGAGAGCAAAGGGGTTCCGAGGCTCACCTTCATGGAGGTGATGCAGAATTATCCCACGTCAAATTAGGTTTCCCCAAATAGAAAGATTATGATACGAATTTTTGTGGCACCAAAAACAGTTTTTAGGTATTTATATTCTTTGCTGTACTATCAGTGTTGTGCTGGTTAAGGGAGAAAAGTTCAAGTAAATCATATATTTAAAAGGAAATTGATACTCTCTTGAAGGCTATGCAACATGAGTAAGAATTCCTTGCTACTTTGATTCATTCATGAAACGTTGAGTGCTATGTGCCAGGCACTGGTGAACTCTGGGGATTTGGGATCCAAAACCAAATGGAACCCTGCCCTCGTGAAGCTTTCAATCTGGTAAGGAGGCATGAAATAAAATTTAGCTTTAAAAGCAACATCTGTTTTTGCCTATTAGTGTACTTTTATTTTAAGTGTCTTATTAGTTACTTGGTTTCATTTCAAAGCAGACTGGGAACATCAGGCTCACAAGGGAGTTGGATGCTGAAATCCTAAAACAGCTCTTTACAAAATCTATTTTAAAAAGTGAGATCAGAGAAACCAAAAATGTAACATTTGGTATAAATTCCTCAGGAGATCGGGTGCTGAGAATTCTACTTCAGTGCCAGGAGGAGGGGATGGGCAGGACAGAAACGTAGCAAGCAAATGGAAGGTGGCCCCAGCAGGGCACGGATGACGGCCTGGCCGTGCATACCCAGTAGAGACTTGAAGCATGCCGCAGCATCCTCTCCACACCTTGGTGAGCATGGCTGCTCTGGAGTCCTGACCCTCCAGGCTGATGGGACCCAGCAGAGCCTTCTGCAGGGTATGCCATTACAAAGCAGCGAGTGTGATGTGTGCAAACGGGAATACAGAGCAGAAACTAGCAAGCAACGGATGGCGGGCAGGACTGACTGGTGAGAGCACTTAAGGCTCTGTCATGTCTACAGGATGGGTCTGCCAAAGGGACATTCTATAACTATTTTTTAAATGTCAATATATGTTGTAATCCTGAAGCATACAAGTAGAATTTCTGGGTCTTTACTATTGACTTCGGA